CCGTGGTGGGTTTCCTCCTAGCAAAACACCACAGAAGAAGAGGCCTGCTGGCTGGATCCAACCAAGGGTTCCTCTAGTACAGGAATGGCCAAACTTGGCCCTCCAGCTGTTTTGGAACTGCAACTCTCATCATCCCTAGCCAACAGGACCAGTGGTCAGGGATGATGGGAATTGTAGCCCCAAAACAGCTGGAGTACCAAGTTTGGACATGCCTGCTCTAGTACGGGACAGGTAAAGGGACCCCTGATTGTTAAGTCCAGTCGCAGACAACTCTGGGTTTGCGGCGCTCATCTTGCTTTACTGGCCGAGGAATCCGACGTTTGTCCGCAGAGTTTTTCTGGGTCATGTGGCCAGCATGACTAAGCCGCTTCTGGCGAACCAGAGCAGAACACTGAAACACTGTTTACCTTCCTGCTGGAGCAGTACCTATTTGCACTTTGACATGCTTTTGAACTGCTAGGTTGGCAGGAGCAGGGACCGAGCAACGGGAGCTCACCCCGTTGCGGGGATTCGAACCATTGACCTTCTGATTGGCAAGCCCTAGGCTCTGTGGTTTAGACTAAAGCGCCACCCGCTCTAGTACGGGACAGAGGGACGGGTAATTTGCAGCTCTTGACTTAATCTCAGAAGACGTCTGCAAGAGATCATTTCAGAGCTATCCTTCCCTCTCTTGGCAGCCTGCTAGATGGGGAGTGGGAGGGTTAAAAAGAGAGGGGGAAAGGGATTGTCCCACCCACTTTTTGCTCTAGTCCCACCCACTTTGGCTTTGGTCCTGCCCACTGCTGGTTTTAGTCCCGCCCACCACTAGTATGTGTCTCCAGAGAGAGAGAAAGGCTCCTCCTCCACCACCAGATGCTGGTGAAGCAGATGCTCCCAGGATGGTTGGGGGGAAGTCATGTGTCATGGACTGGCTGGATGCAGAGGAGTGGTGGACGTGGGAGACACCAGCTGGGGAGCCCCCAAGGGAAGACAGCTCCGAGTGGGGGGGGGGGGTTGGATGGCGGTGAGTGGTCAGAAGGAACAGACTGGGAACAGGTGGTGTCAGAAGGTGAAGAGGCAACAGGATATCATGAGCAGGAAGAAGCTGGGGCAGCGAGCAGGCCAGAATCAGAGGATGGTCAAGAGGCAGAGTAGAGGCAGGCTGCTGAAGAAGACAGGGAATCTGCCCCTCCTGCTGTGACCAGCTCCCCTCTCCACTGGTCTCCCAGAACATGCAGAGAGATGAAGAGGGCAGAGCAACGAGAGACAAGAGGAGCTTCAGATTGCTGGGGAAGGACCTGGGGATGGAGCCTTAGAGAGCAGTGGGAAGGCAGGGACCTTCAGTCCTCGCAACTGCCTCATCGGGGCAAGACCAGGCTTCCTCAACCTCAGCCCTCCAGATGTTTTTGGTCTACAACTCCCATGATCCCTAGCTAGCAGGACCAGTGGTCAGGGATGATGGGAATTGTAGTCTCAAAACACCTGGAGGGCCGAGGTTGAGGAAGCCTGAGCAAGACCTACTGGGAAGAGTTGCTGTGATCACTAGGTCTGTTTGGGTTTCTTTGAATAAAGAATTCACTGACACTCCTGACATGCTTTTTTTAAAGTGCTATGATACTGCTCTGAATGCAGAGTGTGGATGTGGGCCTTCGGATAGAGGCTGCAAAGCCTGTGAGTCAGACCTGGGCTACTAAGCCATTTGCAATGGCTCAACAGTTCCTGGCCCATTTCGCCACCAACGGCACAACGGGGAAGAAAATCTCATCCCCTCCTCTCTTCCCTGCCAACACCACCAGCACCAAGCAGAATCAGAGCACTCAGGAAACAAGTCTATGGGAAGCTTAGAAGAGTTTACATTACTGTGAAGAGAATGACAGCTCATTTCCTCATCAGTGATAGTCCACGGTTTTAATCTACATATCTTTCTTGCCTTTATGGACCCTTTGATTCAGACCCTGGCTGAAGTTCTTCCCTTATAAGGCTGCATGTACACCATACATTTAAAGCACATCCCTCCTCCCCGAAGAATTGCGGGAACTATAGTTTACCCCTCACAGAGGCTACAATTCCCAACCCCCTTTGAATGTATGCTGCATATGCAACCTAAGAAATTGATTCCCCACTCACATTCCCTGGGGTTTTACGGAACTATTTGTATGCTCAGTGTTTAGGTAATCAAAGGCAGGGACTTGTTTATTTTCCCATTGGCAATCCATGCCGAAGATCACCCCCAAACTACCACATCAGTTTCAATTTCTGGATGGAGCCAACACCCGGCAAGGGTTTCCCCCATGAAAACACAGTGAGACAACTGTATTCCTTATGCACATTTATTTGGGAAAAAGCTCTGGTGAATACAGACTTGCTCCAGAACACGGGATTGGGCTGCAGCAAAACTACAGAAAGGTGCCATCACTTCCAAAATGAGCAGGGGAGAGCAATTGCCTTCCATATCCCATTTCCAGGGATGGCTGGTGCCCATTTGGACTGGTGGGACGCAAGGCCAGGGAGCCCAATGGTAGATGGAGCAAGAGGCAGAGCCAACTAATTCTGGTTTTGGCCCCATATTCCTCCTCTTTGCTGAGTTTCTACAACGCTGAAACTTGAGAGGAGGAAGCAAACATTCCCTCCCCTCTGGGCAGGTTGTAAGGAAGATGGCAAGACAGGTGGGGGCTGGCTGAGGTTGGTGGGGCAGAGCCCAATTTGCCTCAAGGACCAGCCCCAGCTGCCTACTTGTGGGCTTCCTAGAGGCATCTGTTTGGCCAATTGTAGGGGGAGACGACGCTGGACTAGATTAAGGTTACCAGATTTTTTTCAATGAATCTGGGGACACTTTAAATACATACATACATACTACACTTTCGGGACGTTGATGCTGCAGCGATGGAGGTGGCAGAGGGGCCGCCACCGCCTTGACCTCAACCGCCACGTTTCCCCTTCCTCCGAGGCTCATATCTCCTTTCTCCATGAGCCTGGGCAGCCCCTGAGTTATTGGTTCTTTGGTGGTGGTGATGGGGAAGCAGTGTGTGGTGGGTCAGGCATGGAAGGCGGAGGGCCGAGAGCGGCGGCAGTGTGATGCCTCCCTTCCCATCGGAGAAGCCCCAATCCCATTCCTACCTGTGTGCAAGCAGAAGGGACAGGGATCCTTCAGCTGGGAAGGGAGGCTTCCCATTGCCTAACTGAGAGATCCCTGCCCCACTCCTGCTTGCACGCAAGTAGGAGTTGGGAGGCTGCTCCGATAGGCAGCATGAAGCCTTCCTTCACAGCTTAGTTGCTGGGGTCAGGGAAGGTGGAGGCAGCCCGGAAGCTGCATCTTAGAGCCCCTTCACCATCATCATATGGGGACTTCCGAGCAGCTCCTGAAACTAGCCAGAGCCAACTGCTCCAGGCTACTGAGACTGCCGCTGCTGTGTTTCCCGGGGACATTAGATGAAATCCGGGGACATTCCGGGGATGGAATTTGTCTGGGAACTTATTTGCAAATCTGGGTACTGTCCCCGGGAAACGGGGACATCTGGTAACCCTAGACTAGATTGACACTTAGCCTGATCCAGCTAAGTTCTTATACGAATCAGTCCCAGTGACTTTCAAGTCAGAATTAGGTTGCTGCAAAGCTGCACAGCAATCTCTTCCTTGCAAGTATCTAAGAATGATAATAGGATTTAAGGTGGGTTTGTTTTTACACATTTGTGTTTTATTTTGATCAAGGTTCACCAACGATTTTGCTAACCGGTGAAAGAGTTGTGGATGCCATACACACAACTGTGCATACTTGGGGGATGCGGGTGGCGCTGTGGTCTAAACCACTGAGCCTTTTGGGCTTGCCAATTGGAAGGTCGGCAGTTTGAACCCGCACAACGGAGTGAGCTCCCGTTGCTCTGTCCCAGCTCCTGCCAACCTAGCAGTTCAAAAGCACGCCAGTGCAAGTAGATAAATGGGTACCGCTGTGGTGGGAAGGTAAACGGCATTTCCGTGTGCTCTGGTTTCCGTCATGGTGTCCCGTTGTGCCAGAAGCAGTTTAGTCCTGCTGGCCACATGACCTGGAAAGCTGTCTGTGGACAAACACCGGCTCCCTCAGCCTAAAAGCGAGATGATTGCTGCAACCCCATAGTTGGGGTCCCTAAAAAAGGTAAGGGACCCCAGACAGTTAAGTCCAGTCGCAAACGACTTTGGGGTTTGCCGTGCTCATCTCGCTTTACAGGCTGAAGGAGCCGGCGTTTGTCCACAGTTTTTCCAGCTCATGTGGCCAGCATGACTAAGCCGCTTCTGGCACATCGGAACACCGAAACCAGAGCAGCGCACAGAAACACTGTTTTACCTTCCCGCCGGAGCGGTACCTATTTATCTACTTGCACTGGCGTGCTTTCGAACTGCTAGGTTGGCAGGAGCTGGGACAGAACAATGGGAGTTCACCCCGTTGCAGAGATTCGAACCACCGACCTTCCGATCGGCAAGCCCAAGAGGCTCAGTGGTTTAGACCACAGCACCACGAGCGTCCCTAGAGGTCCCTTACCTTTACCTTTTATACTTGGACACCCCACACTCATGCCTAACCAGTTGCTGGAAACTGCAGGAGAGGAGAGTACAGTACTCTTGTGTTTGGGCCCTGCTTGCAGGTTCCCCACAGGCATCTGATTGGCCGCTGTAAGAACAGCATCCTGGCCTAGATGGGCCATTCTCCAGCAGGCTCTTCTTACGTTTTTACTAGCATTGTGTTTCCATTTCCCACCCCCGCCCCACCAACCGAATTTTGGGGGAGCAGGGTCAGCGACTTTCCTGGAGACTGCAGCTGGAGAGGGAAGAGGGGTAGGTATCCTGTGGTCCTCCAGATGTAGCTGAACTTCAACACCCATCTGCCCCAGCCAGTGTGGACGGTGGTCAGGGGTGATGGGAGTTGTAGTCCAACCACAACCGGAGGGCCACAGGTCCCCCATCCCCGGGTCTTTACAGATTCTACCGACGTATTTTGTTTAGTGAACCAAAATAGAAGGATTTTAAAAAACCACACGCTTTACCTCCCCTCGTGTCTGTTCAATTTATTACAAAACTGCAAAGGGACATTTAGTGTCATGATACAATATAAAATAATTGTGAAAATACCGTTGTTCTTTCAACCGAGGAAAAACAAAACCTGTTCCGATAGAAAAGGTTGCTAATTAGTACCTGAAAAATTCAAGGCGGATCTTCTAGGAGGCCTCTGAGAATATTTGGCATGTTAAGACATTTGCATGATTTTAAGGCATCGCGGGTAAAAGGATGGCTCATCCTCCCCCATCACTTTAGTGTTCTGTACCGTTTATTTGTATTTTTATAAGAATAATAATAAAAAACCAGGAAGCACCAAGGGGAATTCTACCCCAGAGAGCCAAAGCACAGGTGACAACACAGCCTTCACTGACCTGGCACCTTCCAGATGTTTTGCACTACAATTCCCACTAACCCATTGGCTCGGGCTGGTGGAAACCGTACGCCAACACATCTGGAGGGTGTTAGGTTGGCAAAGACTGGCTTACAGAGACAGACTTTTTTTTTAGCGAGAGAAGAATGTTGGTCCCATATGCACTTAAAGTAGCATCATTCCATTTTAAGCAGTCATGAGTTCCCTCAAAGAATCCTGGGAACTGCGGTTTGTTAAGGGGACCGAGAGTTATTAGGAGACTCCTATTCTCAGCATCCTTAACAAACTACACGTCCCAGCATTCTTTGGGGGAAGTCGTGACGGTTTAAAAGTGGGGTGGTACTGCTTTAAACATACGGTGCGGACGGGGCTGTTGTAAAACTAGCAACAAGTTACACAATGGTTACACAAAGCCTAAACAAAATGTAGTTAGGAGACTGAAGACATTTATGGTAAACAGGTCACCGCGTCTTTTAGTAAGAAAGTTTGCCACACACACACAAAAAAAGGTATCATGTTAGCCTAGCTAAACAAAACGAAACATGGTTCATCAACCTACTCTCAAAGCCTACTGCATATAAGATGGCATACTTGCTTTTGAATTAAAAAAAAGGAGAGAGGGAAAGATAAGGAAAAGTAAGTCCCACATTATAAGCACGAGCATATTATTACCAACAGGGTGATATAAGCAACATGATTAAGGAGAGGTATATATATATATATACGGGGAGAAGAGAAGCTGCTTTCCAATATGATCTTCAAGACCGCCAGCTGCTCCTCGTAGCATCCAGCCCTGCGTCCAGGCATGATCCATTGGCGTTTCACTAGTGTCACCGTTCAGTTTCAGATAAAGCACTGACCCATTTTAAGAGCATTGAGTAGCCACTGTAAGAAAAAGAAGAAAAGGCCGTAGACTTCCTTCCACAGGTAAGATCACCCTGTGTAAACGAACACAGCACAGATCCATTCTATTGAAAGAAACAGAAAACTTTCCCATGGACACAATTCCCTGGTATTGGCTTTCGTGCTCTCAATACAGGACATGCCTGCCCCGCTGAAATACTAGAGCTCCCCCCATCAGTGTTGGCATGTCGCCGGCTCCAGAAGACTCACCTGTTTACTCAAACATTTAACTGAACGGAACCTGCAATTTTACGGTTTTGACGGTTTAAACATTTTATTTTAGTTTTACTCTTTGTTTTATTGTAATTTTAATTAAGGATAGGTTAAAGCCCCGATGGATTTGTAATTGCGTATTTTAATTATGTGTTGACTTAATTATGTATTGATTTGATTGCGCATTGATTTCATAGTTGCAAACTACTTAGCAGCCATTCTGGCATCTAAATTAAATAATAATAGCAGTTACTAAACATCCGGGCAGTTCAAACATACAAAGTTTTGCACATGCTGTCTGCCTCCAAATCATGCGAATGATACCAGTGTGTGTGTGGTTTTTTTGTGTGTGGGTATGCGTAAACTGCCTTGAGTCCCAGTCTGGGAAAAAGGCAGGATATAAAGATTATCTGTTATTGTTATTATATTGTCAATTTAGCCCTTTCAATAGTTAGGCACCACACACATTTTTATTTTTATTTTAAGAAGGGGAGGAACCTGAAAAAAAAACCCTATCCTGCCAATTTCCTGGAAGCAGACTAAAATTAAGGGAATGCTACCTAAATTTGCTCCAGGGCAGATTACATTTTATTAGACACAATCCAGCAGCAGCAGCAGCAGCAGCATCTTGTTTTTCCAGTTTCTTTGAGAAAGTGCCAGTTGTGCTGGGTTAGGCACTGTGTCCTAATTGAAAAACAGGGCAAGAGCAAAATGGGAAAGGAGGAATCTGAATCCAGAGATCTTTGGCAAGGGAATTAGGCCAGGGAGGGTCTGAAGAACCGTAAAAAGAGAGAGGGCAGGGCTGCAGACCCACCCTCCCCTCGCCCCGGGACTATCTCAGGTTTCCACTTTGAATTCCCAGCTTTGAAAACGTCAGCCTTTTTATCCTTCTACTTGGGGAGATATTTTTTTTAAAAAGCAGGCTGGCCATATTCTGCTAAATTACTCACCAAGGCATAGTGCAGTTAGAGAACTTTAAGCCAGGGGAGGGGAATGTCAGGCCCAGGGCCCAAATGCAGCCATCCAGGCTTCTCTATGTCAGCCGTAGAGTTTTAACCAAGCCATACCCTGTTCTCCCCAGACCCTCAATGGCCCTGCTTCACACATCCTGGGGTGATGAGTGTTTTAGTCTGCAACATCTGGAGGGAACGCTCCTACCCCTGACCTAAACCACTGCTGTTGCTGTTTGCGAAGGACCTTTGCAACAGTACACTGTGGGCTCAGCAGCTGCAACCAGCTCTAAATTCTGATCGCTGTAAATGTTGCAGTCCTGCCTTGACACTGTTGGTTTCCCCAGAAGAGTCGTATTTTTAAATCAGACGTTACACACTGACAGATAAGTGCTGGAACGGCCAAGTTAACAGGTTGACACCTTAACACGCCTTTATTTATTGCCGAGGCCATGAAAGGACAGGAAGCAGCAGTCAAGCTCTGCCCCACCATGCCTGGATCCAGCCCCAGTTTAGACTCTAGACTCCTCCCAGCTACCAATTGCCATGGCAGAGGTAATCAGAGGGAGAAGCTGTAGCAGCCCCTCCATGGTGCTTACTTCCAGATCCCATGACCTGCTGAATTACTGCCTGCCATAATTCAGGGGAGGGATTTGGGAAACAAAGTTAGGCTAATGACCATCCCTGGGGAAAGTTAATAAAAAGCTGATAAAACTAGTCAAAACTAATAAAAACTAATAATTCCACATTTTGATGTTAGAACAAAGTTTGCGAGGCATCGCAGCATGCAAAAGAGAGTGCTGGAGGTGGGTAGTCTAAAAGCTAGGCCAGCGTTTCCCAAACTTGGGTCTCCAGCTGTTTCTGGACTACAACTCCCATCATCCCTAGCTAGCAAGACCAGTGGCCAGGGATGATGGGAACTGTAGTCCAAAAACAGCTGGAGACCCAAGTTTGGGGGAAAACTAGGCACTTCAGTTGAGGAACAACTTGAACCCGCAGTTAGGTCCTACTTAGGTTAGGGGCTTCCTGTAGGAATCTGGCTGGCCACTGTGAGAACAGAGTGCTGGACTAGGATGGGCCTTTGGCAGGATTCTTCTGTTCTCATCTACTGAACTGCAGCCACAAGCCTTGCAATTACTCCAAACAGGTTTCACTTTCAGATGAGTACTTTTTTAAAAAGCCCTGGGTTTCTCCTTTCCTAACAGGTTAATAGCTATCCCATCTGACATCTCCACTAAAGCGAAATAAATCTGCTTTCTTCAACCTAGTGCCCCTCCAGAAGTTCTGGACTATAACTCCCATCAGGCCCAGCCAGCAGGGCTGTGCCGACTAGGCCTGGCAGGAGGCGCATTCCAAAATACCTGGAGGGCACCAGGATGGGGAAGTCTGCTTGCCCTGCTTCGATCCAAATTCGTTAAGCTGTTTTATAACGTGACTGAATTGCAGAATTCTGGCAGGAGGCCACTTCATACCCTTGTCTATTTGTGCAGCTGTGCTGGGAACATAGTTGAGCAGTCCAGGTAAGAGCAGAGGAAGATGCTAAAATATTTGGGACATTCGCCTCAGAGGCAGGATCGACAGAAAACCAGGGGCTTACATCACCAGGAGAACAGCAGGTGCAAGGGTTTGTCACGAATCTCTCAAGAGCTAGCACAAGAGGCCAAAACAAAACCCTTGGTCCACTGCAAACTGAGTATTATGAATGTAAATGTCATAAGAAGCCCTTGGGATAGAAAAGCATACTTGCAGGAAGCGGTGTAGATCAAGCTAAATTGGCTGCCTGTCCATTGATGAGTGAGGGTTAAATCCTGCTCTGTTCAGCACTCTTTCAGGCTAACTTCCTACCGATTCAGGAAGCTGTTTGCTACCACAATCCCCTGCTAAAACTGGTTCCACCATCGCCCCCCATTATTTTAGTAGACCAGTCCATGCAAACCTGCATGGGATCCCCCGCTAAAACGATGGAAAGCTCCCTTTTAGCACCGGATTCCAAAGCCCACCCAGCCGTGAATCACGAAAAGGAAGGTATCAGAATCTCTTGCTAGAACAGAGGGGTTTTTTTCACCTGCTAAAATGAGGGGAGAACCTTTCCCTTTCCGCAGAACCATGCAAGGTGCTTTGAAGCCCTGACTTTGGGATTTGCCATTATGATGCCATTATGGCACCATGTGATTGACAGGTGGGGAACCCCGCCCACCTTCCAAATTTGGCCGGTGAGTCCAATTCCAATCAGGCTCTGGCCCATGGAGTCAAAAAGCTTCCCTGCTCCTGGCCTAACCTCTCTCACAAGGTTGTTGTTCCAGCTGTTGAACCCCACTCCCTTGCCTCAGAGGACATCAGTCAAAGCTGTTGTCTGGTAGGGAGAAGCAGAAGGGGAACATAAGGGAGGAACACAGATGAGAATAGCAAATGAATAAATCCTGGTGCCACGGGGACACCATGTTGTTTCTGTCCCCGATACCAGAACGGGGCTCTTTTTATTGAGATAATCGTTCATAAGCTACTTTGATCACCTCTCAGGGTTACAAAGCAGGATATATTAATCTAGATCAGCGGTTCTCAACCTGTGGGTCCCCAGATGTTGTTGGACTACAGCTCCCATCATCCCTAAGCTCTGGCCTTGCTAGCTGGGGTAATGGGAGTTGTTGTTCAACAACATCTGGGGACCCACAGGTTGAGAAAGGCTGATCTGAATGATGAATGAATGAATGGATGACATGAATGAATGAATAAAATATTTTGTAAGGATAAAGTGCAGAGGCCATGGGGTGGGTGGGACTACAATCATGTACATCACCTTGAGATCCTTGGCGGAAAGACGGGGTAGAAAAGAAATTGATGGGTTAATGAATAAATAAAATGATAAGATTGCTAATTCCCCCAGCCTCCTGTTTATTTACCAACACAATTCTCCACGTGGGTTGTAGGTGTGCCATCAAGAGAAAATGTGAAATCTGGAAACATTCCCTTTGTACTGAACACATCAGTGACACTGATTGATGTACTTCAATCAGTCACCAACATTCCAGGTACTTTCACTTCCTTGCATTTACAAAATAAAAAAAAGGGAATTTGCGGGGTGAAGCTTACAGAAGTCAAAAGGATACACCACAACTCCGTCTGAAAAAGATCACTGACAAAAATTGTGAAATGGGACACTAAACACCCAAAAGGATTAAGAGGAGACGAAGAAGCCACGTGGAGCCAGACTTTCACAATCATTTAAAAACTGGCCGCATGAGGAGAAATAAACATGGATCACTAGTCATAGGATATTACTTGTTTTGGCTCTGCTTTTTTTTTTAAGCACTCCTACTTGAACGGTTTCGTGTTCTCTCTTACCTCAAGGATTAAAGCTTATACAAAACCCAAATCCTCTTTTAGCACAATATTAGTTCTATTGTACTTTAAATCATACAGCACTTCCTCCCCCCCCCCACTAGCAATGCAAGGATGTTAAGAACACTAACACATGGGCCACAAATCTGGAGCATTGTTTCAGCTTCCTGAAGTATCAGAATGCAATCCTCCAATCTTTAAATGGAAAGAAGCAGGTTCCTAGTCCTCATGATTATGATACAGTGATAAAACTGGTGAAAGGACAAAAAAATCCAATGAATAAAGGGATTTCAGGCTCTGGGAGGGAAACCTTTTATGCCCTAGATGATTCCCTGCCTTTTTCTACACGGATGCTAACTGGCTCCTATGACTCCTACTGCTATCCCCACCATCAAGGTGGCATTGAGAGAAATGGAACAATAAAGAACAGAGATGGGGAGGTTATCCTCCCCATTTCCTTTATTTCTCCCTTTCATACCACACCACTTGCCCTCCGGATGAGCAACCAGCGAAACACTACTCATGAGCTCCACTGGAAACTCCATCCCAACAGCTCGATATTTCATGCTTCCCAAGATACTGTTCAACAGCGTTACTTCGTTGCCAGCGCCTGTAGCTAAAGGGATACAGCACAATCTTCCCCAGAATCTATTCCCTGGGTTCTTCATTATCTTCTGAGCTCAGGCAGGTGGCTACTGGCAAGAGGGCCTTCTCCCCAAACAAACTGCAAGTGGTTTGTTGTTTGGTAGAAATAAACCATGAGCCACGAGTCGGGCCAACGAGAACAGCCTCATGGTTTGTTGCTCCCAGTGAGAGGTGGGTCGGAGCAAATTGTGGGATTTTGAGCAGCATGCACTGCTTGTTCGTATTAAAATATAGTTAGGCTATAGAATAAGAACTGTAGAGTTGGAAGGGACCGAGGGTCATCTAATTCTAGACCAACCCCCTGCAATGCAGGAATATGCAGCTGTTCTATAAGGGGATCCAACATGCAACCTTGGCATTTATCAGCACCATGCTCTAACTAACTGAGCTATCTAAGACCTGAGATTTATATCAGGGGAAACCCACTCAGCCATAAAACTCAAAGGGTAGCCTTGGTCAAGTTGACAGTCTCTGTTTCTCTCTGTCTCTGTCTCTGCCAAGCCTACCTCACAGAGCTGTTGAGAATATGAGAGTGCAACATACTGAGCCTCATGCTCCATGGAGGAAAGGCAGGATGCACACAAGATTAATGAGTTAAGGAGAAAAAGGGTTGCTCCCACCTCACCGGAGCACGCAATGACCTCATGTTAAGGAAGATCACTACCATATGAGCGTAATCCGCAGATCCAAGCAACCACAAAACACCCAGAAAAATCCTTCCCTCTTTAAAAGCCACAAATCTCTAGGTCTTCACAAGCATAAAAAGAACCGGAATTTTTCATTATTTCAGCATTACCCTTCAAAAAGACTGGAGGAAGCTTCAAGCAGCAAGTGAACCTCATCGGAGCAAATCCCAACACATTTTCTGCAGACGCAACAAAGCAGACGGGCCGGCGTGACTCACGGCGAGGCAGGGGAGCCAGAGCGTTGGGGCAGCTCACCCTGCCTTGGTTAGCAAAACACCCCGGAGGCTACAAGGTGGTTGCTCCAAAAAGGCTAGAATTCTGCCTAAGCTTCACATTCCAGGCATCAGAAGCTACAGAGACAAATACATCCTTCCTCCCCCACTAACCCCCCGAGATGACTTTTCTCATCACATCAGTTTGGCATCGGACCATGATTAAAGTCTGGTTGCTAGGGCAACGCCACACATATTTTTCTTTTAGAACCCCACGTATCCATTATTGTATGGAGTGGGCTGTTTTTTCAGTTCTGTCAGGAGCATGACTAATGGTTTTAAAAGCAAGATAAACCACACGTTGTGATAATATGGTCAAGTTAGGCGAAAGTAGCTCAAGACTCCCCCACCCCCTTAAAAAAAAAAGCCAAACACAATAAACTCTTCCATCGTTATGCAGGAACATTACAAGATAGGTGGGATGAGTTAATTGTCGCAGTCTTTTCCAGAGTTTAAATTCTTGACTCTGTCCCAAAGACACCCCAGTTGCTATGTTAAATCAGCCTTCCTCAACCTGATGTCTCAGACAACAACTTCCATCATCCTCGACTACTGGGAATGCTGGCTGGGGCTGATGGGACTTGGAGTCCAACAACATGGGAGGACAACAAGTTAAGGCAGACTGCCCTAAACGAACTGAGCAGAATATGAAGGCAATCCAATCTTGCAAGTTTTTAGTTTAGTGATGGGAGATTATTCTTTGCCAAAAAAATCTGGAGGGGGAGGCAGATTTATGTTGCTAATTCTCATTTCCAGAAAGAAAAACAGAAAGCCATCTCTATCACCTTACCGCAGCTATTTCGGCAACACAGGCAGATGGAGATGCCATGAGTTATAATAATAATATAAAGCACTGGTCTAATTTTGAAAACTCAAAAAAGAAAAAAAAGGCTTGGGATTGTTTTATTGGAGCCTGCTGCCAAAAAAAAGGGAAGCCTGCAGAGAGAGAAAGAGATGGAAATCCATCAGCCGACAGCGTGATTCTCTGCTGTGCTGTGCAGACAGGACTGCGCTTTCTGGGCTGGAGGTTGGGCTCCCAGATCCAGTGTGCCAGGAGACATTCCCAATCTTGCTTGCACTGGTGCTGATGTGCTCATCCACACCCACTCCCAGTGCTCCTATCAGCTCAAAAGAAGTCTGTCTAAATGGCAAATGGTAACAGACTAGACCAAGGGAACAAAAAGAGTAAAAGCACATCTAGGCAGTCTGAAAACAACACTCCGGCAGGAGTGGGAAATATTTTCCACCCCAGGGATGGAAAGCCTGGCTTTAGATGACAAAGACATCCACAGAAGGGCCTCTACATCCTCACATAGAGGCAGGCACATTCAAGTTATGCGCCAACTCTACTGACCCAAAGAAGGGAAGGGCTTTTCCAAGTCAAAACCAGCACTCTGAATTGGGCCCCAAAAAAGACAGAGCCAGTGCAATAGGCATTAGTACCAGCTGCTGAGAAAGACTCCCTGCCCCAAACCCTTGCTTCCAATAAGAGTTGACAGCACTAAGCTAGGTGGGCCAATGGAAGGACTTGGTGTAAGGCAGGTATCTATGTTCCTGCTTGCCATCTGTGTTAAACAATTCAGTAGCCTGTAGGCTGCGTTGGGCCTGTAATGCTAAGCACAGGGATGGGGAACAGATATTGCTGAACTACAACTCCCATCAGCCTCAGTCTGTAGGTGCTGGCTCCCTGGGGTCCTGAGCACTCCCACAAATTTTGGTGCCAGGGCCATGCATGCTGAATGGCACCCACAGCCCAGGGCACCCAAAGTCGTGGGGCGAAGCTGGCACTCCTGCCTCAGCCAGGGTGGTCAATGGTCAGGGATGATGGGAACTGTAGTCCAACAACATCTGGAGAACCAGAGGTTTCTCATCCTTGCTCTAGAAGAACACAAGCTAAGGTGTGGCCAGGCTTCCTGCTACAAATTCTGAAGGGTGAATGGTTTCACACATTCAGGTGTGTGTGTGTGTGTGTTTGTGGATCCTCTCACAGTCACACAATTTTGTAAACATTTCAGTAAGGTTTTGAACAGACATCTCAAAAGTGCACTAGCAATAATTAGAAGTGGGCTTCTAAACACAGGCGGGTGGGGGCAAGGCTTTCTGAATACTTTCTTCCATTGAATAGTTTCCAAAGGAGTAGCTGTCTTAATCTGCCCCATAAAAAAACACACAGGAAGAAGTCTGTGGCACCTTG